AATAAATAAATTAAATCAATATATATGTAATTTCTAAACTAAGCAATTATGATGTTAAATTGCAATACTAAATTAAAAACCAGTTTATTTAAATACAAATCACGGATAGATGCTAATGAATTATATAATTCTTATTATAGATATATATTTTATAATAAGTAACAAAATAATTAAAAAATGATTTATAAATGTTCTGTAAGAATCGTTATTATAGCCAATATCTTATTATTTACGATACGTATATATAAAAGATTTAAGTATTCAATTTTATTTTATGCGACTGCGAATATTAACCAAATTTTAATATATATTATCAAAATGTTTATATGGAAAGCAAGTTCTTAGTTGGTATGGGGAATAAACAATTTGTCTTTTGCTTTGGGGGTTTCTCTTGTCTTTGTCTTTCCTGCTGTGTAGATGGACCACGAATACATTTTATTGTTTTCATTTTTTTATGTTTTTTAGTTGGAAAAATGTTCGTGTATATATATATATATATATATATATATATATATATATATATATATATATATATATATATATATATATATATATATATCCGCGCAGTGCGACGGGCGGCTGGCGAGAAGAGATGAATAATTTTGTTTTCCCATTTAGTTTTGTATCAGTGAATAATTTCTTTCTACAATTGCTTTCTTTTTCGAAAAATAACATTACAAAAAAACACACAATTTATCAAAATTGTCATTTACCATTTAAATATATTTTTAATAGTTGTAAATACTTGTATGGTATTTTGGAAAATAATTTCCTTTACGGTTTAGGGTTTTCTGTCTTATGTTTATTGTATGGTCAACGTTAGTGATATAGTTCTTAGTAGATATAGTTCTTAGTAGTGTGATCGTAGGTTGGACATTCACTATGAAGATGACGATTAATAGTTTTCCATCGATGAACATTTTTTTTTCAAAAACATGTCATATTAAACAGATTGTACAATACATCAATAAATAGTAGTTTTGAGAGAGTTGATAGTTAAAATGAGACTATGATTTAGGATTTTGCTGTTGTTGGATTTATAATTTTCGTCAAAGTTAGTATTCCAAACTAGAAAACATCATATTTGGATCAAAACTTTTCTAGTATATACTAAATTTTTGTTTATATGAATGTACGTAAGAGTAATATCATTTAAATATATCTTTAATTAACTAAACAAAAATTTAATTCATGAAAGTGGCAAATCAAACACAAATCAATTTTAAGGATTCTAGTATAAACAAAAACATAATCACTAGAAGAGAATCACAAATCAAACATCAAATCACATGCTTAAAGTCAAGCAATGAACATGTTTTGAACAAGAACTAGAAACTAGGGTTTCTTTGCCACACATGGCTAAGAACAAATCAAACAAGTATAAAGATTGAGTTGGAATGTTTAATGCTTACAAAAATGAAATCAAAAGTGTTTGCAATGATTAGGCCTTCTCAAAAGCTCCTAAAATTATCCCAAAATCACCCAAGATCCCCTTAGTTGCTCCAGAAACCATCTCTTCTAAAAATGATGTATTCACCTATTTTAGTTAATGTTCACGTGCATGCCATAAGGCCATACTTTTTTAGCATGACCATGCCTTTTTCCCATGTATTTTTGGCATGGCCATTTGTCTTGACCATGTGTTTTTGGCATGACCCATGCTTTTTGCTAAAACTCCAACAAGTATTCAATGTTGGCTCCATTTTCAGTCTAGCTTCACCATGAGTCATGTTGCTTAACTATAAGATGATAAAGGACAAACACGACCCGTGTTGGTATGACAAGAACCGCGTTTCAAACGTAGCCCTTTGTTATGATGACAATGCAACAATGACTTAGGTTATCTCTTCATGCTTTCCTCCATGGAATGACCGGCTCATCTTCTCTTCATGCTCCAAAGCTCCAAGCATCCAAGCTCCATGTACCATAATGCCTACAATATAAATCAAAAATGGTGAAGTACCAGGTATTCTTAATGAAATATGCAGTTACCCAAATAATTAACTAAATACAAGAATTGTGAAGTAGAATGCTATGAAAGAACGAAAATAATCATGCAAAATAGGTGCATAAAATGCACCTATCATGAATGGACAAGGGTTTAGGTAAGAAATTAAAGAATATAGGAACACCCATTGACTAGTAGAGTAAAAAATGAAATAACAACCTTGATTATCAATATGTTATGAGGATAAACAAATGAACAAAACACTGAAAATCACATACATTGTATAATACCCCGAACCGCCCAGCCATTGGATTTGGTAAGGGGACCTGAAAGGTTTACCCTTGATTTGATAGTGAACGCGAGAGGAGAGAGATCTTGTTGTAGGCAGCAGCATTGTGGTGGTAAATTAATTAGAAAACAGAGGAAAAGGAGAAGATTAATACCTCCACTAAAATCAAGTCCAATAGTCGCATGTTTGGCAAGAAGAAATGATAATATATTTGTCGATATCTAGTCTTACAGTTACATGTCGACAAGAAGAATTGGATGTCGGATAGGGTTCGATTTTGCAGGGAGAAGGACTGATGGACGAGAAGTGGTAGCCTTTCCAACGAAGAAAACTTGGATGTCAGTTTGAGGTTATTAAGGTTTCGGGGGGGGGGGGGGGGGGGGGGGGGGGAAGAGGTCGTGGGCTTTTCAGACAAGAGATGGTAAGGAGGTGAGAGGTCTTCAAGATAAAAGTGTGGGGTAATGGGGTTTTAGGTAATATTAATTTTTATATATTAAATAATAATAATATAAATATACTAATGATAAAAGAAAAGTTTAAATAAATAATAATCGTATAAAGGTCATTTAATGCATGTTAGAGACTACAAGTGGAAGAATAATGTACCATAAAGATCCTCCAATTTAAAAAATAAATAAATAAATAAATAAATAAGTTAAGTACCAAACACATAAATTACCCCAAACCAATTATTATTACAACATATAAACTAAACAAAATAAAAAATAATAAAATAAAATAAAAAACTCTTTATCTGTTTTCTCTCCTCCTTCTCCTCCCCCCCCCCCCCCCCCCATGTGATATTTGTGGTGACCATTAACTTTCACCCTTGATAATAACTAGTAGGAATTACATGCGCCTTTGGCGCCGGGGTGGATCAAGTTTGCTTAAATATTCATAAATTTCTATTTTGTCACTTTTCACTGATAACACGGTTTCAATTTAAAAATGGCGGTGTGTTAACAAATTATAATTTAAAAATATATTAATTATGACATTATACTTCCAATTTTCTTCTTATTAGTGTATTTATACTTTTAAAGATCTATTGAATTATAGCATTGAAACTAATTTTGTATTTAATGACAATGGTATGAGTATTGATCAAAATTTTGAAGGTACAATGTTGAAATAGGAAGAATGGAAAGCATCATGTTCTTCCTTGTCAGAGCTCTCTGAATACATTCCATAGAAAAAAAAACGTACTAGCATGTTGCAGCATATCCATGTGGTAGTATTAAAACCTTGTAAAAAGAAAAGAAAAATAGGCTAAAAATTATGGAACTTCATTGTCGTTCATAGTTCTAGTGAAGTTGATGCATAAGTGTGCATTCAACATCTAAAAAGAAAAACTCTTTCAAACAATACAAATTTGGAAGTTACAAAAAAGAAATAATGTCCAAGAAAAACTAAAAATTAATATCACATGGTTTCCTTGGTTCTTACCTGGAGACTCGAGCAGTTGTACATCCGTGTCATGGAGATCATGGTCACAAGGCCAACTACTTTTGTTATATTATCTATTTATGCAAAAGTTGGTAACCAAGTTTAGAGTCAGTTTATGACATAAAACCTAAAAGTAAAGCTGACCAAAATATAATATATCTAATAGTTTCTATTCAGTTTTAGAAAATGTACCATGGAACTCATGTGAAAATGCTAATTTGGTACACAATGTATGTTCATTTCCACCAACAATCTGAAACAAAGTAGTGATATAAATACGATTATGAGGATACAAACAACATTCTTTTCCAATGGGTATCTTCAAGCAAACAAAATTAAACTCCTTAAATTCTTAAAATTCAAATAAACAAACATGTTATGATAAGAGAATGCAAACTTTGAAAGCTAAATTTGCAAATGGATGAAAAATTTTAGTTAGTGGAGAAATATGGCTGAAATTGATAAGAATACTTTACCATTTATTGATTTCAAACCCAGATTTCAAATAGGCATTTTATCGAACACCCGGTGAGCTTCCTCCATTTCTTCAAATTTGTCTAATAATCATGAACACACATAGTTGTTCCTGATTTCTCATCCCGTCAAACACCTACAAATATGAATCAAAATCCATGTAAAGAAATGATGGTTTTTGCAGGTGAAAGATTAAACGGGAAGTTCTTATTGAGGGAGATAACAGATGTCATACATGTGGTCGAATTTAAATAGAAATATGAAAAAGATGATGAGAGACATAGCAATACGATAATCAAAAAATGGATTCTCACGTCTCAGAATATATTTTCCTTGCTTAAAAACAACTTGATTAACTAAGATATGCAATCAACTAATCGATTGTTGATAACAATAATAAATTGAAAGATTAAGTAAATTAGATGTAATAGTTTAGAAATTGAAACACCTAGAGATGTGTATTAAACCCATTTCAACTTTTCAAGATGGAGCATAGCTATTTGGGGAAGAAATAAGTAGAAATCACATTTCAGCAGCCACCTCGTGGAACGCCGCAATTACACTCTTAGGGGACCAGCAATGTCGATGTTGAGCCGCTTCACTTGTTGCAACACTTAACCTCTACCTCAACCATTATTGATTCCTTATGTGAGTGAATGCGACACAAAGAAACACAGACATACCAACAACATCGGAGGCAACTCCTTGAAAAAGCCGCTAATTTTTTGAAAGCTAGAAAAGAAATAAATGAATAATTGAAAACGAATATTAAATTGATTCCTAGAGAAAAAATGGAAACTGATAAGAGAAGCAGTAGACGAAACATGGAAACAATAAGCAAACAGGAAACCGGTGACGCTGTCGACGCCCTGCTCCAAAGAACCACCGTCTTCACTATTTGCAACGTAACAGATCCGGATGGGAACTGAAGGGTTTCGAGGGAGAGAGCCAGTGGATAATGGATTTAATCCATATGTATGGTGGTGAAGCAGATGATTGGATGAGAAAAATGGTGGAGGAAGTAGACGTAAACCACATGTATTGTAGGGACCAAAATGTAAACTTTTAAAATACGTGTGCCCAAAATCTGAAGGTCAAAAAGAATAGTAAAAATGCTAAAGGAAGTAAGCGTAAAATTCAAAAAAGGGAGTGGCAATTGTGGTAAATCGGCAGAAAGCTATGGCCAAATTCCAAATTACAATACGTTCATGTGTCCCCAACCCTTTTAAGAATATATATATATATATATAATATATATATATATATATATATATATATATATATATATATATATATATATATATATATATATATATATATATATATATTGTGTGTGTGCGCGCGTGTATAACTCTATAACCTTCTTTTGGCATATCGAAAAATAATCTCACATCTAAGCACAATTTTATTTCAAATAAAATTTTTTCTTTAAGAACTTTATCACCAAGTCGACGCTTGTAGGTAATTCTTCTTTAGATTCTCAATTCTTCATCGTCATATCTGGCCTTTTCTGAAAGTCTAAATAATTGTTTGAAATTCATGTTGTCATATTTAACTACATACAAAACACATTCCATTGGTTTAGAGACAAATAACATCTTTGAAACACAATGAATACCTTCAAAGTAAGTATCTTGTTGAGGCTAATTTGATTTTGCAACCTTATACATCCCGGTAACTTCAACATCATGTTACATAAGTAATCACTATATATATATATATATATATATATATATATAGGAGTAGGATCAAATGAGAACACCTAAAAGGTTGAGGACGCGATAACAAATCTGGACCATCTATGTTTTAAGATGTGTGGCTATAATTAATTGTTATTTTTCTAACTATTAATAAATTTAAATTTTAAATTTTAAATTAAAAAAATTATAAAGGCTATTAAGGTAAATAAACATTACCCTAATTTTGTAAACTCCTATAATTACTCTATGTCTCTTTATTTGGTTGACCTAATCTCATAGAATTAGTCATCTCACTGCCTCATCTCATAGAACATATCAGAGCCGAAGGAGGCCATAGAATCAGCAGAGAAACATTTTAAACGATCTCTCTCTCTCTCTATCTCTCTCTCTCTCTCTCTCTCTCTCTCTCTCTCTCTCCATTGAATCGCGCCGGTAGTCGGAGGAGGAGCCGCCAGAGAAACATTCCACAAAGCGAACTTCGCCTGCTGCGCCTCTCATTCCTTCAATTCCAACATCAATGGCCGACTTCACTTCAGGTATATATCACCTTCCATCATTCACATCTGGGTTATTGCTATCTACCTCTAACATCTTTACTTTCATCGGAATCAGGAACTGAAATCGATATCACTAAGTACCAACACAGTTCAAGTCGAAAGGTTCTTATTGGGCTCATCACAGTTTCGTCTGTGATGGCAATCATCATAGTGTCCATCATGTGTTTGTGGATATGCCAAAGAAAGAATATACACAAATCTGGGAAAATCGGTACCACAAAATTAGGTAAGACGATGTAAAACTTAATAGGTTTTGACAATTTCTACAGATTCTAAACAGATTTGTTGTTTTAATTTCAAGATTCTTTGAGAGGGCTTCCATTGAGTTCATTTGTTAGAAGAACTAATGGTGTTTTCAAAACCAAAATCGAAAAGGGATCAGTGGTTGTTATGGATTATAACGTGTTAGAATCAACAACAAATAACTTCGGTGAAAGCGAGATATTAGGCGTAGGTGGATTTGGATGCGTGTATAAAGCTCGACTTGATGATAATTTACATGTAGCAGTTAAAGGATTAGATGGTATTAGTCAAGACGCCATTAAAGAATTCCAGGTTAATTATCATTATCTTAAAGATTCAGACTTTAATTAATCTTTTAATTCTTGTAATTTTGTGATTAGGGTTTTCTTTTTTGCAGACGGAGGTTGATCTATTGAGTAAAATTCATCACCTTATTGGGATATTGTGTTCATGATGAAACCAAGCTTCTTGTTTATGAACTGATGCATAATGGATCTTTAGAAACTCAATTCCAAATCAAATTCGGTGTTTTAAAAATTGAGTTTCATATTCAAAGAAGGAATCAGAATTGATTTTCGATTTGAATTGTCAAACCATAGAAAGTCAAAACTGGGATCGCCATCTTAATCGGATTCATGCTAAGGGTATTTTGGGTAAGATTCCTGGTACGTCCCCTGTTCATGAAGCATCTCATGTTACAATTCTTATTCCTATGAAGATTTTGAAGCATTCTGGTAGTGGTAATGATGAAGTAATGAATGAGGGTTTAAATGATGATGTGAAGATGGGATCAGATACTGGGACTGATTTGAAAATGAACCAGGGAGTTAGTTTTTCGGATCTTAAATGGGATAATGAGCCGATGATTGTTGATAATGATTCCAAATAAAAAACATCCCAATGATTACTATTGTCAATGATGTTAGCAAAAAGTCTTATGCTTGAATTGTTGAAGCTTCTAGCTCCGTGGTTGATCTTAACATCAAAGTTATTCCTAAAGTTGATGGGAAACCAAATGGTAAAGCTGAGCTAAAGGAGAATGAAAAATTGTATTGTGTTCTATATTAATGTTAAAATGTGTATTTATTTATGAATAGCAATGTATTCATTTGTGCATAGAAGTGCAGTCATGTGTAAATGAATATATTTATATATGATTAGATGTATTCATTTATTCATTTGTGAATAATAGGGAACTCATTTTTTAATAGCAGTGTATTCATTTGTGAATAGCAGTGTAATCATGTGTTAATGAATGTATTTATTTATGATTAGAGGCATTCTTTTTATGAAGAAATGATAATTTTTACACTCTTTTTATTTTTCAGTCGATTAAAAAAAAGGAATTGGATTACTTATAAATTGATGTGTATTCATTTGTGATTGGAGAAGTGTCGGGTTTTTTGAAAAAAAATCATTTGTGAATACAAATGTATTAATTTAGGGTTCGATTTCTATTCATTTTTTTGAAAAAAAAAAAACGTGAAATTAGAAGAAAAAATTGATTTTCTTAATTTTTTTTTTTAGTTTTAAGAAAAATTTTGGTAAAAATGTTTTTTATATTCCATTAATAATAAAAATAAAAAATTGAATATTTATTTCTTTTTTGGTAACTGCTCCTAAATTTAAGAGAATTTGATTGAATTTTATTTTATTTTAATTTAATTAAAATATACAATTAATAATATGCCATTATATATTGATTGGTCCAGAATTGTTCTCGCGTTCTCAACCTTTTAGGTGTTCTCATTTGATCCTTTCCCTATATATATATATATATATATATATATATATATATATATATATATATATATATATATATATATATATATATGTTCAAATGTTTCTAGCACCTATTGTGTGCATGAATACACCAACATGAATTTAGGAATAATTAAATAATTAAAAATTGTAATAAGGTAATTATGTAACTTTAGCATGTTAATTAAAATAAAATCCCATAATTCATGAAAATTACCATAAAAATCTATTTGATCGACTATTTAACCCTAGCCTTTCATATCATGTGTATTCTATTTCTGCATCCTCCCATTTTCTTATTGACGATGTCGACGATGTGAATTGGAATCAAGGTGTGGATTTGAAAGATACACGAAGGAAAGCATAAGGTTGACTCATTGGGGGAAAAGGACTTCGATCCTCATCTGATCGAGAAGGGGGCCCACGGTTGAGAATGACCGCAAGGTCGATGAATGGTCCATCCCCTGTAAGATGCACATCCTCCCCACTTTCAGATGTTTCATGAATCACATACAGATTTTTTGTGATGTGGTGCAATTTCTAATTCTTAATCCAACAACAACCAAATTCTAACCTATCAATTTTGCAACATGTAAGCTTCATCTAACCTATCAATTTTGAAAGAGCATCGATTACAGTCCATACATTTTTCTCATTCTGATAGATTATTGGTATTTCTAGTTTTTTTCCTTCATTCTTTGTGTATCAAATCTTGCCCACCAACTGTTCGCTAAAATGGTTGAATGAAATTTTTTGTCCATTTCCATTGACTCTTCATCACTCTTTTACTTTAATTCAAATTTAGTATATTATAGATTGTCTGCACTCGATTTCTTAATTCAAGTTCAGTATAGTTGCATTTTATTTTTAAATGGGCATACAACTTAGATGATAAAAAATCTACAGGAGATGTTTGATAGGATCTCTTCTTGAGACCATGTTTACCTTTTCATAATTTTTTTTATTTCATTATACTTTAAGCTGCTATTAAGTTCAAATTTATGTCCTTGATTCCCCCTCTTCATTTTCTAGTTTAAAGGCCTGGGAGATTGTCTCAAAAGCAGATTATACTAGTAGGTAAGCCTGAGTTTTTATGTCAATTATATATGTGTGTACACATCTGATATAAAATACATCTTTATAGTTATTCATTCAAAATACATCTTTGTGTTAACATGATCTTTTCCCGTATTTATATTTCAAATATTTTTTTTGTTGGGTATATTCTTGAAAATACAAATTCTTTAAGAATATTCAAAACTATTCTGCAAAAATAGTTTATTCTGTAAGAATATTATTGATGTATTCTGGTATAATTGTAGTTAATTAGTTATATGTTTAATGTGTAGTTGTTACAAGTGTATCACTACAAAATATTTGGTAATAAATTTGTGATAGAAATGACTTGAAGAATGGCTTGAAGACCTGATGGGAAAGGCTCCTTGTATAAAATCATTCTGATGAAATACAATTCTCACAGAATGCCAATCTCACAAAATATTAATCTCATAGAATGCTAGCATATTTTGATGTTGCTTAGAGATCAAACATACACAAGACATCTAGAAACGAAACAAGAAAGTGAATGAGCATTCTTTCAAGAATGCTGATAATTTTTTTGCAAGAGATTTCAGATTGAATGTAGTTTATGCTAATAGTTGTATTCCTTAAGAATGAATATAATTACTTATTCTAAAACGTTTAAATTCCATCTTATATAAAATTTGTATTCATTAAAGTTTATTGGTCTTGATAATATGTGTTTATAATATTATGTTCATAGTTGTCTACCATTTTAATAGAATTACATAGTATCATTCTAACCAAATAACATTTTGATAGAATGAAATTGGTTTATGTTTACAAATTACGTTTGAAATTGAATTAATTTGAAAAACAATCAGATTTTTTAAATCAAAATCATTAATTATCCCATAAATCTCGATTTTTTCTTTTTTAATTTTGTCTCAATTGACTAAAATGCCCTTATACTTAAATTTGTGTGTTTATATGGTACATGTTACCATATTGTAATATCATAGACCGTTAGATCATGACTTTTGATTCTATTCCATCCAATGGTCCAGATCCGTGCATTCTGGCACACAATAGTTAGTAGAAACAAAATAACCTAATCCTATATATATATATATATATATATATATATATATATATATATATATATATATATATATATATATATAGAACCATTATAAATGGTTCTCCAAGGAACCAAATATCTTTTCAAGTTTTAAAGCTTATTATTATTATTATTAGTATTATTATTATTATTATTATTATTATTATATATATATATATATATATATATATATATATATATATATATATATATATATCTAAGTTCATAACTTCTCATTGTGAATGCTAAAAAATAAATTATATATTTTTTCGGATTCACACTGTGAATCTGCACAGATTCATACTGTGAATTTGACAGAAAAAAGTAATTTTTTTATCGAATTTTATATCATTGAAAAAAGAATAAAAAATTATTAATTTCTATGTTTTTCAGTTTTTTATTAATAAAAACTAAACACTAAAAGTTGAAAAAAAAGATTGATTCATGTGTTTCATGGTTAATAATGGTTTTTTATTGAAAAAGTTGAAAAAAAAAAACTATCTTCTAACATTTGTCAATTCCTTTTTTGTATTCATTCTTTATCGTACTGGAAAAGTAAAATGAATAAAATATTAGTATTTTCATAAGAAATTATAATTGATCAAAATATACCTCAAGTGTAACATTCTTCTTCCCCTAACCCACTCTTAACATATTTGTTTTCAAGATTTGTGATAGTACATAACAATTACTATAGTTTTGAAATTCAAATTACCATTTTTTTTGGAGCGTTCATTCTCTTATAATAGATTATATTATATTAATAAATTGTTGTTATTTGAAATAATAATAATAATAATAATAATAATAATAATAATAATAATAATAATAATAATATATGAAATAAAAAATGTTCAAATAAATTATTTACAATTTAGTGAAAAATAAGTATAGTTTAAAATAATTTTAAATCAAAAACTCAATTCAATTTGATTTAAACATAATTTTTTGTATCTTTCGTATCGTATGCTTAAAATTATTATAATATTAGTTACAACTTAGTATAAAAATTATTATTTCAATGATAAATACTTATAATATTGTTTTTATAACATATAATCGTTAATATTTATATTACATTATTTGGCACAAATCAAGATTCTAAAACTCCTACTACAACACAATAATATTTTTTATTTAAATGTAATTATGATTTCAAATTTAATGTAATTTGTCTTTATATTTTCCACTACATTCAAAAGTTTTTTAAACTTATGGTTATTGATATGCAATATTTTTTGTTTTCCATTTATTTATTATCCACATTGTAGCTATATTAGTAATATATAAGTAAGTTTTGATTAAAAATCATATGTTTGAAAAGATTTAAGATTCAGAATGAAATAGTTGAAAAAAAAATTGTCGTATCAATGATTATTTCAACATAAATTTTTTATAACAATGTTTCTATATATAAAATGTATGTTGATTTCTAAATATTCATTTTGAATGATTTAAGACTGTTTAATAAGTTTTGTTTGATTTAAATGTTCTAATGTTGTAGTGTTTTTCATACTATTTGTTATTTGTTTTAAATATACGAACCGATAGACGTTTTATATATAATTTCCACAACTTAAAGTGTTCTATAAAATCATCAAAAGTTGTAGTATTTTTTTTTTTCATACTACTTTGTTTTTTTATACAGAGGAATTAATATATGTTTGATATATAATTTACATAATATAAAACGGTCTATAAAATTATGAATTAATATGGGAAATAACAAATGATATAAATTTATTAAAATTAATAAAACTAATATATTAACTATAGAGTTTCTTTTGCTATTGACATTAGTTTTACATGTATGTATATTAAATTAGAATTTGTTAAATTTTATTATTTTAATTAAATAATTAAATTCGCGCGCAACGCATAGGGATACGACTAGTATATATATATTTGTAGATTTGAATATGTTGTGATGTATCGAGTCCTAGATAAAATCGAAGTCTTGTTAGTGTATCCATATTGAATGCTTTCAC